GTAACTAAAGTTTTAGGAGTTTTTCTGCTCTTCATAGATAAACTTCTAAAAACATATTGGTGGAGTGGAATTTGTGACATGAAGTTTTGACTCTTCAATCTTCCAAATAGTTTTCTCCTTTAACATAATTTGAATGCATTACATGCATACATTTCAATGATATTACTGTGTGGTAACATCAAGTCGCTACGATATATATCCACCTATATCGTATGAATTAGTTTTAGATGAAACATAATAGTAAGAATTTTTGAATCAATCATCAATGTTCTTGTACGAAAGCTAGAGTTTGGTAGATAACAGTGTTAGCCTGAGTGGTTTACTTTTCTTTTTCGTCGTACTAATTATAGACTCAAGTAAGTAATTTGATAGAAGAAACCAATAGAAATCTATAAAAAAACATGAAAAAAGCAAAGATGAGGAGGGGTCCATTTCTGCTACCGTTCTCTCGTCTTCAAGGTCTGCGAACACAGTATATGCCTTAGCCCTACACCTTCTTCTTTTTTGCATACAATTTACAGTTTGCTATTTATTTATTTTTTAATATATGGAACTCGATCGTAACTTCACAATGTATTGTACCATAAAGCTTTTAGCAAAAAAAAAAATAAAAAAAAATCACATTGATTACTATCTCTCTGTCCTGATACTGACAGTTTAACTCTCTGGCTAAAGAACAAATGTTGTTTGCAGAGGTATCCATTTAAAATAAAAGAGAGTAAATTCACATAACAGAAAAATTAAATTTCTGACTATAAATTGATGGTTCCAACTGTTACAAAGTAACTAAGTTTACCTTGTTGCTAGATAACTTGATTTTATTAAATCTATAAAGGACATTTTATTCAATTGTGATGCGAAAATAAACAAACCTAAAAAAATATTTAAATAAAACATTCGGAAAACGATACTCTATAATTTTTAACAGGTTACATTTTGCAAATTATGTGGTCACAAAATCTTAAACGTTAGGGAAATTGAGGTCATCTTCAGACTGCAGCAGCCACGACCACCTTTAGCTTTTAATACTCATCAGAACATTGGCAGCATCGCGTTTTTTTCCCTTATGGGCCTGCAATTCAAAATATTATCGAAGATTGGGTGCACATTCTAATGATTTATATTACGCTGTTGCACACATTTATGTAGATTAAACAGCAATACACGTTACAAACAAAGCATGATCATCTAAGTTATTAGGGCTATCAATACACGCTTATTTAATCTGTGCAGCTATAAAATCTTTTCTTTTTGCAGATTCTGGTTGCGATCTCTGACATGAGAGTTCTCTCTGCACTACCTTGCCTATATATTAATTATATATGTTAGTTCTAGATTACTGTCATCACGTAGGCAAAATTTTGAGGCAATTTTTTTTTTATACAGAAATTTAACGAAAAATGATGATTGTGAAATATCAACTAAGAAGCTCAAGTCTACACAAAAGGTTAATATGACAAACGAAAAAGCTAAGGGACCTAAGTATCAATTATTCAGTTAGGTTCCCTGATGCCCAACACTTTAATTATTATACATTTGCATTCCATTATTCTCGACCCTTCCTAATTCTTCCTATCTAAATATATAGCCTACTTTCCAGTTGGAAAAAAAAAGAACTCAAATTATTAATTTTCAGTTAATGCTATCAACTAAATATTTATGTGAGAACCAGCTTATAAGACTTTGAAGTCTTTGAACAAATGCAAACTTACTAATAAAACGATAGTGTATAGCGAGGGTCCCACTGGGTGAACTAAACTCTTTCTAAAAACATAAGTTTAGTAAAATGTGGTTAGCTTATCGTCCAGAGAGGTTGTTTAGATCATATCGGATTCTAATACCCTAATGTACCCTAGAAATATCATTCATGATCAAATATCGACCAGCTTTCAAAATTTAAGTTCATATGTACCCAAAATATATCCGAAGGTTTAATCTCTGGTAAAAGGTTCGTCAAATCCCACATATGGAAAATCTAAACAAAGTTTATGTGACGATATAATATGCAGAGCCCACCCGACGAAAACGGTCAGAGCATTATATATTTTGAAAACCAAACTCAAACTAATATGGAGTGTTTGTTTTGAGCTTCCTTACTTTCAGATATAACAATCTCGATCTTTAACAAGGACGTCAAATTCTGTGATTCACAGCAAATGTAAAATATTTTGATTACTTGACAAACACTAGTGCATGTGGGAAGAGTGACAAGAACTAGTTTTAATAACTGTGTCATTGGCATTTGAACATTCGAAAATCTTTATGAATGAACTCAAGAATTAACCTTTGCTTAACATAGAGTAAATTTATAATGGCTGGCCAATTAGTAAAAGTTTTTCAATTAATATCATACGATCAATTGCGTGGTTAATCTATAACTTCTACAAATTTTGTGAATTACTGAACCAAACCGTCAGATGAAAGTAGAATCGATATATAGACCGATAGTGGACCATAACACTAAAAGATCCGCCTATACGGAGACAGTTGATATGTTCATTCCCTTGGACCATTCGACAGAACGGTCTAAGCCACCAGTGAATCATGTTACAATGATGCCATTGAGCTTTATGAGAACATGTGAGAGTTTAGCTCGATTTCGAATTAACCTGGAAAGATTCGCTTCACTTAATAGTCAACCATATAAGTATTTTAAGTAAAACTGAATTAAAATGACTTTTTCGTTAAAAAAAAAGTGGATATGATGGATAAGGTATAGAGGGTGTAGGGTTAACGTAAGTTTCACGACTTGGGAGAAGTATAATGTGGAATCTTTTGGGATGAAGTCAGATTGCATGCGCGTATGCTTTTTCTAAAGACATTAAACTAAACTCTTTTTTTTTCTTTCTTTAACTTTCGGGAGTCTTCAAGTTGACGACAAATTTCCCACTTTTTCAATTTTATTTTTCTTTTTCCTCTTATTATATTATAACTGTAGTCTCTGATAAACACAAACAAAGATAACCAAATTTTTGATCAAGTGAAATATGCGTTTGATTGTTTCCATGCAGACAGATCTATGTTAAAATGAATAGTTTATGAAGCTTTAAAAAAATTTCGAACACGACACATTATTAAACGGAGCTTTAGCGCATCAGTATCGGAGATCTGATGATAAAAATTCTTAACATTTTTTTATTACTTAAAATATAGATTTTTTTTAAAGAAAAAAAGAAATTTAACAAATCATGTTTTGCCATATTATGGGAGAAACGTCTTTTCCGTCCTTGCGCAGAGAATCCATTCTACCTTTCAGTCTCGCCACGTCAATTTTTCTTTTTTTTTTGCTTTTTTTTCTTTAGAACTTTACTAAAACTGTCCGATACTAATGCTCTTAGATATTTAAATATCAACAACATACGCAGCGCCGGTTCAATAATATTAGAGGACTCTAGGCAAAGAAAATTTATATCCCTATATTTATTATAAATACAAAAAATCTGATTAACTTTTTATCTAATGTTTTTAGTAAAAACATATAGTTTAATACTTTATAAAATAAAGTTTTTGATCAGTTTAAATCTAAATTAGTAAATTGGAGTTGGACCCGGGCAGTCGCACCCGCAAGTTAGCCGGCCCTGAACATACGCCTTGTACGATATTTGAATTTGGGAATTGATAGTTGATACAATGGTACTAGCTAATACAATAAATATTTTATCAATAGAACTTTAGTTGCTGACAACAAAACGGATTAATTATTAATAGCTAAACTGAACAAACATAAAACGTTGGCATATACAACTCTATCTTAAATTGAACTTATAATTCGGGAACAAAAAGATTACTATATAATTATATTGTATATAACTAAAACCAACGAATATGTACAAAAATATCTAGACATTATTCCAAAACTCCAAACTGATATTCAAATGCATAACGTATGGTTGTGGTAAGAAGAAAAAAGAGTCTGAAACGTACGTAAGTCTATTTCATTGCCTTCTTTTTTTAGTGGAACGAGAAAAAAGCTGTTGTGTATCATTATCAACGCCTTGAATAATAAGAAAAAGATGTTACAAAATATTATAAAAGGAGAAAAAGTATTTTGTTCTTTCTTCATAAATGGTAGAGTTGTAATTAAAAGGAAAGGCAATTTCTTCAGACGATGACCTTAATCATAAGTTCCTAACACTTTTTGCTTCTCGAAATTCGAATCTCATTCAACATTAGGCTTTAATCATAGTTATCCACATGAAACACATACAATGTTCTCTCTCTCTCCGTATATAGTATACATACATAGAAACAAAAAATGTGACCTTAATGTCAATAATTCTCTCAATAATAATAGTATGTCAAACTGTTCCCATCGCCCACTCTGATTAACATGTAATTTTCTACCGACCAACATATGTGTGTATGGCGTGTGTGTGAGTTTTTTTTGACATTGTTATGCATGTTTCAAGATTTTAATATGGCACGCATGATTGAAGAATAATGATTGATGAAATTTTCAGTAACAAATAATACTGAAATAAATTTATATGTGGCTAAGAGCTCAAGAAAGGACACATGTTGGTATGTGAAATGGGAATCTTATAATAAGGAACAAAAGGTTGAAAGCAAAAGGGTATTTATTTAGTTTACTTTCCTATTCTGAACCCTTAACTTCTGCCATCCTTTCCACCAACAATACTCTCTCTCTCTCTCTCTCTCTCTCTCTCTCTCTCTCTCTCTCTTTCTCCCTCTCTATTATTCTTCATTTCTACTTCTTGCCCTTTAATTTTAGACCAACAAAACATATCAACAAAAGTCTTTCTCTTCTTTTCTTCTATCAATTCTATTGTCCAAATTTCATCTCTTTGGCAAAAACCCTAGTACAAAGATTCCTATTGTTTTGTTGTGACAATTCTTCTCTTGTTTTGTTTTTCTTAATTTTCCTTGGTTTTTTTTTTTTGGATTTGGGTATAAATCTTGGGTCATTGAATCTTGTGACTGCAATGGCAGATTTTTGGGGATCTGCATAGAGGAGCTGCTTCTTGTATCAGCTTTCAGGTAGCTGTCTCCAGCCTGCATCAGATGTTATTAACTCACTACACACCAAACACAACTACAACAAAGAAACGGCAAGCACTTTGAAGAGCCAAACAAAAAACGGCCCGCAAGTTTCCTTCCGAAGCTGATAAACAAAAAAAACAAAAACAAAACCATTCAGAATAATGTCATTTTGAGAGGTCAAGAAAATGGGACTTAAAGGTTATAGCGTCGGAGGAGAAGTTGGAGGAGAGATAGTTGAGGTTCAAGGCGGTCACATAATCCGAGCCACTGGTCGAAAAGACCGTCATAGCAAGGTCTTCACGTCGAAGGGTCCACGTGACCGGCGCGTGAGACTCTCAGCTCACACGGCGATTCAATTCTACGATGTGCAAGACCGGTTAGGGTATGACCGGCCAAGCAAAGCCGTGGATTGGCTCATCAAGAAAGCGAAATCCGCCATCGATAAGCTCGAAGTCAGTCAAGAACCGGAGACTAATATTAACACTAAACCGGGACCTTCTTCGTCCGAGCCCAGTTTGGTTAATAACCAAACGAACCAGACGCAGTTCGTGGCGGCCAATCTTGATCCTGAAGACGCAATGAAAACGTTCTTCCCGGCGACGGCGACAACAAACGGCGGCGGTGGTGGTACAAACATGAATTTCCAGAACTACCCTCATCATAATGACGACAACATAGTCTCAAGAACAGCAGCGACAACACCGAACCTTAGCCAAGATCTTGGACTCTCTCTTCACCCATTTCAAGGACACAACAACAACACAGTAGTCCCCGAGACCAACAATTTCGCCACGGCTCATTTCGAGACATTCGGGAGAATCTCTGGATGGAATCATCACGACTTAGCGATGACGTCATCGTCATCACCATCAGAAAACCAGCAAGAACAAGAAAGGAGCAGTGGTGGTTTCATGGTGAATCATCATCAACCATCGATGATGACATTGCTTAACAGTCAGCAGCAACAAGTGTTTCTTGGTGGCCAACAACAACAAAGGGGTACCCTTCAGTCCAGTTTATTCCCTCATTCGTTTCGTTCTTGGGATCATCATCAAACCACATCGGATCATCATCATCACCACAATCAAGCTTCATCTTCTGTGATGTTTGCTTCTCCATCACAGTTTGGTTCTCATGGGATGATGATGATGCAAGGCCTTAGTTTCCCCATCCATGGAGAAGAAGCTACTCAACCAAACTCTTCTTCTTCTCCTCCAACCTCACACCTCTAAAACACAGGTTTGCTTTCTAAAACATAGGTTTACTCATTTGAGATAAGGTTAACTAATCACTCTCTAAATCTTTCATAATTAACGCACAATTATATCTTTGATCTTCATTGTAGAATACAAGGGTAACAACAATGAGATGGAAGGAGAGTACGCGATACATTAATGATAATACCATCTATCCATATATTACTATTACGCTCTTTTATTTTTAGTATTGAGTTTTGCTTATTTGTTTTATGATTTTGCTATTAATCATCACGATTACGATATTGAACGAGATGGGTTCTATGTGTGTTTTGCTTTAATATGGCCTTAGCCCTTAGGTTGCGATATTAACATATTGTAATCTCATTTTTGTTCTATAAGTGAGTTTTAATTTTTCTTGTTTTTGATTGTGGCTTTCATGTCTTCTGCTAAGTAAAGTTTTCCATTTACTTTTAAAGTTGAAATCTTCAGAACTTGGGAACGTAGAAATGAGGAAGAGGAGGTGCTCATTATCATCTTTGCAGAAATGAGTAATATAACTTCTGAGTTCTGATGACCTTTATTAGCTTAGCTGCTAAAAAGTTGCGACTATTTAATAAGAAAAGTCAACATTATTACAACTTTGAGATTTTTATGCAAAAAAAGTTGCTATTGAGTATTCAACGCTTTGTGACAGAGATACTAAATGATCTCGATATTTCAGCCGGCTTTTGCATAGTTTTACTGTTTTTAAAAGGGAGATGTATTTCTTTAAAATGATGGAAATATTTATAAATAGTCTTGTTAGATAGGATCTGTAGAGAACGAGACATTATCACTGTTTTGGCACTGGTATATAATTGATAGGATTGCTTTGATAATAATAAACGATAATATCGATTAAAGTGTTTTGTACTTTGTAGTCACATGATGATCATTCTTTTTCTTTCGCAAAAATGATCATCATTTTCATACGAGACGTTAAAAGCTAAGAATGTTCGTACTTTGAAAAGTTTGAATACAATTTTCTATTAGTTGAATATGAGAATGACCCACCTTTTGAACAAGGATGGTTGCTTGGTTTATCGGAAGTGGTCAGCAAAAGGATTACAACTTACAAATCTATAATTTATTTTGTGAATGTGATGGATGTATTTTGTTTTTTTTTAAGAAAAATGAAAACCCATGTGAGAAATTTTTGAAAGATTTAACAGATTTAAAAGGTCAAAATCAATACGATTTTAGAATCTCCACGTATTTAAATTATTTCTAAGCCAATTTATCTCATGTTTTGATATCAGCTTGCAAAATAAAATACTTTTGTTACGCAAATAAAAAAAAAGATGAATTATAGAAATTTCAAAATTACGGTTGAATTCTTCTTCAAGGAAAAAGATCTTACTTTCTTTCATTTATAAGAGAAACATTTTTAAAGAATAACCTTATTTTTGTAAGTATTTACAGTAATGCCATTATGCTGATGTGTCAGCCCCACATTTCTTCTCAGCTAATTTTTTTTAAAAAAAATTTAGATTACTAAACTAATTACATGATATGCCATTGTATATTTTTAGGTCCATAAATATGTTATGTTTTATTTTTTAAATGAATTCAAATATAATAAAATAAAAATTAATAATTTAATAAAATGAAATTTGTTTAATGCTTATTATAATATACACAAAATTTATTATATAATATATTTAAAATATTATCCTTATATATTTTATTATAAATTCATAAAAAATATATAATATTTTTCAATGTTTACAATTCTTATCATCCATAGCAAAATATATAATACTTTTAATGTTTACTACTTTTTTTAAAAAATATGTTTATTGATTATTCATAAAAAAAACAATTGAAAAATTAAAAATAATATTTTATTTTCCTTAAATTCATATCAAAATATATAACACTTTAGTAATGTACTATTTCTATTAGAAAATATGTTAATTAATTTTTTATTAAAAATATTTTTATAAATACAACAGAATAATTAAAAATAATATTTTATTTTTCTCAAAAATTAATCAGAACAAATAAAAAAGCCATAATGACTTTATTCACATATTGTTGTAATTATAGCGTGCATGAAAATTATTGTAAAAATATATATAATACTTCAAGCTAAATATTTTTAAGTTTATATTTTTAACAATTCATAATAATATATACAAAATATACTATTAAAAATATATGTTAGTTTTGTCAGAAACATCAATTAGAAGAAAAAAAGTCATAAAGACGAATTATTCAAAATTATTATGATATATATTATTAATATTCGGATTTATTATATAAGGAAATATGATATATTGCATTATGGTTTAATTTATATATGATTTTTAGATAAAAAATATGGTATATATCATTGTTGCTTTTTTTTTGGTAAGAAAATATCAATATTAATTAATTATTTTTAATTAATGTTTGATTTATCATATACAATATCAAATTTTCAGCAAATTTATTCATGTTTTTTTCTTAATTTGGCGGCTTTAATTCAATCAATTTAATTACTGTAATTTTTTAATAAATTGATGATATTGTGATTTTAATATTTTATTAATTTATAAAATTATAAATTTATCAGTTTTGGAATTAAATAAATCATTTATTAAGAAATTAATTAAAAATATATATTTTTAAAAAGTTAATGATATCTTTAAATATTTCACTTTTAAATTGTAGATAAACCATTACACTAGAAACAAAAAATTATATATTTATATTTTAGTAAATTATCATAGTTATATATTTATATAAAATTATTTTATGGTAATTATTTATTTGTAATATTAATGAAACCATATATTTATATAGATTTTCCTAAAACAATATTATCTTATCAATTTGTATTATATTTTAAACAAGTCCAATTTGGGACTAGGAAAATTTATTAATATTTAACTAATAATATTTAATAGATAAGTAACAAACTATTTAACTAATAATATTTAACTAATAATATTTAATTATTTAAAAGTCAAAAGTAATTTATGTACACAAATATTGTATATCCAAATTTTGGACATTTGGTAAAAATAATGAAGCATATCATCAATTACGGGATACATAAAATATGTATGATAACTTCGTATTTTTACCCAGCTATATCATGTGTTATGCATGCTACTTAATCTTTAAATTAATTTATATTACAATTAAATTATCTTATAATTCATGAAAAACAAAAAACTATATTGTCAATATTATAGTGTAATATTATATAAAATTTATATAATTTTAATTATATTATATTATATAATTTTAAAATTATATTAAATTTAAATAAATAATAATTATTTCACTCCGCACATGATGTGAATTATTACCTAGTAATACACCCCGCACATGATGAAAATAGGAAAATCCTTGGTTTCAGTAGGAAAATATGATTCAGTTTTGCTAGGAAAACATAATTTATTGGTTATGACAGAAAAAATGAATTATCGGGTTTGACAAACTTTTGGTTTTGGTGAGAAAACAAAAAAAATGATTTTGACTCGAAAACAAAATATCTTAGTTTTTACGAGAGAATGCGAGAAAAATGCAACTTTTCAATTGGCAAAAATACAATTTATTGGTTTTGATAGGAAATACAAATTTCGGCTTTTGATGGATAATGTGATTTCTTGATTTTTGCGGTAAAATGTGATTTCTTAGTTTTCGTGGAAAATTGTAATTTGACGATTTTGGCGAAAAATACAATTTTTTAGTTTGATGGGAAAACAAAATTTCCTTATTTTGGAAGGAATAAGCAATTTCTCGGTTGTGATGGGAAATGCAAATTTTCGGTTTTTGACATATAACGTGATTTTTTGGTTTTCGCGGTGAAATGTGATTTTTTAGTTTTCGCAGGAAAGTTAATGCAATTTTTGGTTCTCGCGAGATTGTAGCTTATCAGTTTTGGTAGGAAAGCCTGATTTTTGGTTTGATGATTTTTTTTTTTTGTGTGGGAATTGACGATTTATCGGTTTTCATGGGAAATTGAATTTTTTTGTCTTGGTGAAAAAACTTGATTTCTCAGTTTTGACGGGAAAACATAGGTTCTCACAGGAAAATGTGATTTTTTTGTTTTTGCGGAAAAATGCAATTTCTCTGTTGTGGTTTGAAAATGAAATTTCAGGTTTGACGAGAAAATGAATGTTTTTGATTTTGGCGGGAATAGGTGAAATGAATTTTTTTTTGTCGGAAAGTACGATTTCTCACTTTTTTTTTAAATGACAATTTGCTTTATATATTTTCAAATGAGGATCAAATGGTAATTTAGTAAAGATAACAAATTATATTTGTCATTAGTATAAATGTACTTAAAAATATATTGTTTTATTCCTACATATACATTTATAGATAGTTAGCTAAACAAATTTGATAGTAGATTATAATTTTGAAAAATAAAAAAATTTAAGAATATATAATGTTTATTCAGATTTAAAACATATAAATACATAACTTAAGTTAATAAAAATAAATATAATACTCATTTACATTATAAAAATAATTTTATTATATTAAAAATATATATAAAATTTAGAAATATATTCTGCAACATAGCGCAGGTATATACCTAATATGGCTTAATAAGTCAATACAAAAAGTTGTAGTGTTGTCACAGTCGAATACAAAAGCTTCAAATCTACAAGAATACAAACAAATCCAAACCAGTTCACAAGTTCCAATAGCCATATACAGTATACTCTTTATTTAACCGAATTGCAAGAAAAAAATGGGTTGTTTCGGCTTCTGAGAAAATTTAGGGAGAATATAGAATTCTCAGAAGAGTTAGTATCTGAATTTGCAATAACGACAAAATCGAGGGTTCAGGCAAAAACCCTTTGTCTTCTTCGTTCAGGCTTCAGAGATTTTAGATCTCGTAAAACCCTCTCAGGCACATTTCGTGACGAAAGAGAGATGGCGGGGCCTCTGCTTCGATCTCTCTGGTCAAACACCACTCGGAGATCCTTCTCTTCCCAATCATCACCTTCCTATCTCAAATTCGGTCACTCGCTTTCGTCCTTACGCGCCTTCTCTGCCGCCACCGCTTCCACGGCTGCCGCCGGAGCTCCCAGCAGCTCTCTAGACCCTAATCGTCTCCGGAACGTGGCCGTGATAGCTCATGTCGATCACGGGAAGACCACGCTCATGGACCGGCTTCTCCGTCAGTGTGGAGCCGATATCCCACACGAG